TTATTGATTTAATTTCTTGAAGTAATCTATTCAGAATGTTTATCATAGTGATTCCTTTCCCCATTTGCAGGCCCATAATAATAAAGAAGTATATGAAGATGTAAAGACGAGAAGATTTACAAGGATAATGAAGATAGAGGAGACAAACTTGATAAGTTGTGTGTTAAGGTGCAACATAAAAGCAATAAGAAGTGAGAAGAACCATAGGTGATATAGATGTAATATATGAAATTGTAATAGTAGATTAGATTATATGTATTTTGTGATATTTTTATATATTGTTTTTGTTGCTATTTGTTGCATCACATGTGTTGCTTTTTGTTGCATCATGTTGCATTTTGTTGCATCATGTTGCTGATTATTCTACTATGTTGCTTCTTGTTCTTTATAATTAATTTTAATCCTTCAAAGAAAAGATTAATTTTTGTTATCTATTTGTATATATATACTTATATTCGTTTGTAATTTGAAATAAAAATAAGATATAGGTATATGTAAAAGTACCTAAAATGATAAATTTGGATTTACGAATAAACAAAAGGAAACATGAAAAAACAATAAGAAACAATAGAAAAATAAATAAATAAAGTTATCAACAAAGAGAAACAGAAAGAAACAATATGCAACAACAAAAAATATAGGTATATATAAAAACACCTAAAATAATAAATTTGGATTTATAAACAAACAAAAGGAAACGTGAAAAACAATAAGAAACAATAGAAAACAAAAATAATTAAAGTTATCAACATAGAGAAACACAAAGAAACAATATGCAACAAAAAAAAAATTGGTTAACTATTTTTAAAATATTATATTCTTAAAAAATTATATATTTTCAATTTTCACATTTTTCAATTTTTTTTTTTCTTTATTTTTCATATTTATATTTTTAATTTCTATAATGTACACCAGCTTTATTGTTATCTCAATTTATAGAGTTTTTATAAATTTAACAATCTTATTTTTTATTTTAATTTTAGTTTGATTTTTTCCTCTTATTAAATTTATTTGATATTTTTGAATGTTTTCAAATTTTGTATATTTATTTATAACTATTATATTTATTTTTACTTTGTATGTATACCAATTTCAATAAAATTACTCTTCCATAATACTTTATAATTACTTATCATATTTTTATATAGTTACAATACATTTTTATCTCATTTACATCTTTGCTTTAAAATATTAGGCTATTTTTTCAACTTGGTTTCAAATATAAATAAGCATTTATTTTATTTTTCAACTTTTATGAATTTTAAGCATTTATAAAAAGTTTCAAAAATGAGTAAATATTTAATATTTTTAAGCTTTTATAAATTTTAAAATTTGTTTAAAAAAGCATTTATAAATTTTAAGCATTTATTGTATTTTATTACCTTTTTCAAATTTAAATTATTGTTTTAAATTCGAGAATTTTTTTATTGTTTTGTGCATTATATTGTTATACTTCGTATCGTTTTTGCACTTGTATTTTTCCATCTTTAAATTTTTGGATTCGTAAGTGCTATTAAAGGATAAAGTTAGCATATGGATTCATTTTCGTTATTCCATCAGCGGCGACCCGTTACTTCCCTGGTAGCATGGTCTATTATTGAAAACAAAAACTTTAGGAGTATACGTTTGAAAAGAACTTTAAGAGGTGACAAATTTGATATCATTTCCATTTTTTTTGCCTATTTATGAAAAATTCCCTAAAAGCTACGGAGTTTATGCTATATCAACGAATTTGTAACTTTTGCAATCACTTGAGGATCAAGCATTCAAGCGAGCTATATGAACAAGACCGCAAAACATGTTTTTATTAGGGCAATTTAGTCAATCTACATTCAGAGTTACATGGTATTGTGATTATTATTAACACACAAAAAAATCATTGTGATAAATCTCAAGATTGAAATTTCTACTAACATTAATTCATCAAACTACTATGCACTTTACTTTCATAATTTTGATCTAAATTGTAAAACTCGTAACATTAAATTTTTTATTTTAATAGGAACGGTTAAATACAGATATATTATTATTATTATTATTATTATTATTATTATTTTGTAGAATAAGAAATACAAAAGTGAGTGAAGGAGAGAGTAACTAAAAATGAGAACGGTTAAATACATATATTATTATTATTATTATTATTATTATTATTATTATTTTCAAAAATTATTATTATTATTATTATTATTATTATTTTGTATGTATAAATGTAATATTAATATATATATTTTTGAATATAAAGGATCAGGTTTATATTAAAATCAAGAAAAGATACAAAATAACATCTTAGTTATGACAGATCTAATTGTGAGCCCTAAGAATGGACATAGAATCGGTCGCCACATACAAAGCAACTTGATTCGCTAGACACGAAACTGATAATTTAAATCCTAAAAAAATCGGAACTGAAATATTGTCTATCAAATGTATACCAAAAGTCCAAATTTGTAAACCAAACCTACTTAAACCAAAATAATAATAAAAAGTACTACCAATAGAAAAATAAAAGTTAGATAAAGTATTTCCACAAACCTTTTCATGCACAGAGGTGGTTCCGAAGGGACAACGAGTTCTACCAATGTCTACACACTTTAGAAGAAAGCATATAGAAACCTCTAATCAGACGAAGCTAGTCGGGACACCAACTGAACTCCTCACACCGAGAGAGACAAACCACTTCAGAGCACCGGTACCCGGGAAAGAACTGTCACAGAACAAAATCAACACCACCAGAAGAAAAGAATAATCCAATTCGATCATACCTCTACCAAGAATTTTTTAGCATTAATGTCACCATCAAATAGTTTGGATCACTTCAACACTTTTTGGAACTCGAAAGCGGCGAGACAGAGAATTTAAGAAGATGCGAGATAAATGACGCAAAAGTGTAATATTAATAATTTGAAAATAGAAATTTTATTTTTATTTGGAATTCAATCTCGAGTTCAAACATCTTATTCTGACTCAAACCTATAAAAAAATATTTAGCAAAACTTGACCCGAACTCGAAATGAGCTAGAGCTAAAGAATTATTTAACTCGTTCAAGCTCGAACTCGAACTCAAGATCGTGAATTCTTATCAAACTCAAACATACCCATGTTCGAACTCGGCTCGGCTCGTTTGCACCCCTAATTATACTCCTACAACTGGCTACAAGTTTTGAAGTGCCCCCAATCAACTGCCCTACCAGCCACCGCCGACCGCTGGCTCCAATCGCCTATGCGATCGTAGGAACTCCAGAAATATCTACCCATTCACCGCCACCAACCTACCAGTACCATCAAATTGATTTTGATTATGCAAGGAAACTATGTGACAATTAACTATATGAATTATTTCTATTAGGTGTAGAAAGGTAATGTTTAGTCTTATTTAGGGAATAAAAAACAATGGATTCTATTGTGCATTTACGCTTGAATTTAGTCCTATTTAGGACAATATCTCGAATGTACTCCTGATAAGTTCGTATTACAACACACATTTGATGCGTGTTGGGGTCAGATTTTGATGGTTTTTCTAGCTTTAAGGCGTTGCAAGTCTCAATTTTAGCTCAAGTTGTGATTACCACGCGTTGGGTCGAGTTTTGTTGCATTTGGAGTCAAATTGAAGAAGTTAGAGACCAACAATCGGCGCTTGAGAAGTAATCAGGATGAGTTGAGAAGCATTCGAGAGTGATTCGATAGTTTTGGATGTCACTAGAAGGTTTACGATGATGATTTGAAGTCAAAAGAGCCAAAGAATCGAGCACGGGAGCAATCACGAGCGAAAAGGAGTGAAAAGGGCCAAAAAGTCAAGTTGGAAGGTCCGCACGCCAAGCGGACAGAACCCGCACGCCAAGCGGAGGTGGCTGAAGTTCAGAAAATTTGGGCGTTGAACCCCGCACGCCACGCGACATTTCCCGCTCGCCGTGCGGGATGAATTCGTGATCCCTGGAAGCCCCGCTCGCTGAGCAGACAGAACCCGCACGCCGAGCGGGCGAATATTTTACGGAAAGCGTTCAATAGATCCGCTCACCGAGCGGACTTAATCCGCACGCCGAGCGGGCGACCCTACAATCCTAATTCAGGTCAATTTCTCCTGTTTTCTATATAAAAAAAGGCCTCTATTCTCCCATTGAGGGGTTACGAACATTACGGGGAGACTTAGGGACGAATTTACGTGCGTTTTTATCATTGTTTTCTTCAAGAATCCTGGGATTATTTGTAAGTTCATCTTTTTAATTAATGACAATTTATTCTATTCATTCCAATTCTGTTGATTCTTCAATTATGAATTGTGAGTAGTTTAATTAAGGATTTGGGGTTGATGAAGGGGTTAATCATGATTGATGGCTAGATTCTTGATGGATTAATTGCATGAATGCCGTTTAATTTGTGTTTAAATAATTTAACTGATATCTCTTGTAACCTAGAACGGCCGCTAGAATAACAATTGCTTGTAGAATAAATTAAGAGAGATCTAATTTATTTTAGGACACATTCACACACGCTTAATCGTTCGCTAAGAGATTAGTAGCGATTAAGGAGCCGTAAGCTCGCTCATCTTGGCAATAATTTAGAATCCTGTCGCATGAGAGATCAGTCTGGTCCCCTAAATTATTGTACTCTACGCCGCGAGAGCGGTAAGAACTTAGTAATGATTAGCTAGGCTCAATTAAATTAATTTCATGTAATTAAGCTTGATCTGCCAAAAATCTGGTTACCCCGGAATCAATCCATGTTCCCTTCGTCGTTAATTAGAGAGAAACCAAGCTTTTATTTTATCGTTCATTCACATTAGTTTAATTTCAAAACAACCAATCTCGCACGACGCATTTATTTTATTTATTTCATTTTAATCGCTGAATTTAGTTAATCTTTAATTCCCTTTTGTCCGTCCTTGTGGAGACGATACTCGTACTTTCAACCACTTTACTACATCATTTTTTAGTGCGAGAAACCTCACATCAACTCCCCAAATAAGAGTAAAAGATGGGCTAAATTAAAAAATAGATAGTATTGTTTTAAATTCCCTAAAAAAGCTAATATAGATAATTACATAAGTATAACTAAAATATAGATGACTTACATAAATATGACTAGTGACTAGAGTAATAATGAAATTATAGTAATTTATGTTCAATTTTTAAACTTAATTTACCATGACACTCATTGTAGTAACTATTAGTCATATTTGTGTAAATAAGTTTTATTTTAGTAATATTTTTGTAAAAAACATGATCCGTTCATTTCTGTTATACAAAAACTGACTTGAGAAAAAATCAATCAGTATATTTGATTTTCGTTCTTATTTTCTGATGACAAACCACCAAACACTTGGGAGAAGAAAAATCATCACCAATTTTTAATTTCCCTGTGTGGTACATTCTGCTTTACCAGCATGAAAAAGCTTTTCCTCCAGGAGAATGTTCTTGAGTGAGACAGAAGGAAAAACTTAAAGGAAAATATATGCATGGCCTGAAACAAACGGAGTCCCAATATAATTCCTTTCCAAATTTGCTCTTATGCTTCAGGTTAAGGGGCTTCTGGATGAGGAGAAATAGGATAGACTAGTTGATCCAGATTCCACTCCGCCAGTCCAAGGATGTTGGGAAGGCGGGGATGGTCGGACAGAGAAATGGTAGCAGTGGCAATAAGAAGCAGGATACGTTCAGAGCATATTACAATAGTCTGCGCAAGCACATGGGGCCACACCACCCCTGGAGGTGAAATATCCTTTGATTCTACTCCAAATCTTGATCGGTGTGATCTGGACCAAGAAAACTGAAATTGAACTTTTCTAAGGGCCTATTTGGATGGAGGGTTTTATTAGCATAGCATGTGATCATATGGCATTTGAATCACCTTTTGCTCGCCTTCAGGGACATTCTATTTCTCGACATATAGACCAAGCCCTCCGAAAACTTCAATCCAAAGTTCCAAATGCTTTCCTTACTGTACTATACTCTCCGGACTTGAGCGATGTTATATCTGTGTGCTTATAACAAATCAATTCTGTGTAAGTATAAATAATATGTTCCTTTTATGTATGTTCTTAGGCCAATATATTAACAACATATAATGTATGAGCCACAGAATGAATATTGAGCATAAGAATGCTATTTCTAAAACCAGAATTATACAATGAAGTCTATGACTAGTCTATACAATGAGTAGAATGTGAATAGAAATATAAATGACATAAAATATCCTCACTAGACCCAAAGTAAAAATAATTTTTCTGTATCACATATACTGAGTATTGAGATCAAGATGAACGTTGCAGTTAAGGTTAACAACTTCAAAACAGGTAATCAGCACATTCATTGATGTACTCAGGTGGATGCCAAAGTAGCCGGTGGGAGCCTGAACAACACAATCCTTAGCCCAGTCGCTCCAATACTTTAGCCGAACGACTAAGAAGTATTTGCACAGTAAGACTTTTTTCAACAATCGCAACTCCACACGATCTAATGTTTGTGTACAGACAATAATTATTTATCTAGGCTGTTCCTAATGTTTATCATACAGTCACACAACAATACTTTCTTTAATATATACCACATATTAATTGAATAGGGGGGAGTGAATAAGCTTACTTCCCCAGAGCGGGATGAGAATGTATTCTTGAAAAAAACTCAAAACTAAAGCTCTGTTTGTTTCCTGGAAAATAACTTAGTGTGGCAAGTTATTTCTGGATACATGTTTTCCTGGAAAACAAGTGGTTCTATGTATAATGTGTCCTGCAAAAATAGAAAACATAGAACACTTTTAGAACAAGAAATCACTTTCCACAAACCAATGCCAAACAAAAGCGAAATCAGAACTTTTGCATGGAAAATTTTCTCTAAACAAACAGAGCCAAAGAGATGGGATTGACTCCAACTGACCTTGACCTTCAGCGCTAAATATCAAGAAGCTGACAGCTGACAAGCTCTGATGATCCACTGCTCTTTGATGCAATAACTCTCCATATATTTGCATCGAAACCATACGTGCCTGAAGATGGAACGGGCTGATTATGCCTATCTGCTTGCCAGATCACAATATTCTGATTTCCATCCTTAGTTACCACATGAATCTTTCCAAGAAACCCTGATAGTAAATAAGGAGAATCCAAATCGGCAAGACCACAAATTGGCACATCCCCTTCAATTGCCTTCCAAACATCACCTTGGGAATCATACACGTTTATCTTAGCGGCATTTGTTGACCCAGAAGGATCCAAAGCATAGAGTTCACCATCAACAATCACACTCAACTTCGTCCCGGCCTGTCTGGCAGGCCACCCCTCCCCCATCCCTACTGGCATCTCAACCCACCTGTTTGTTTCCGGATCGTAAACCTCCCCTCCGGCATCGAGAAAGAATGGCCAGCAATACAAACTCTGAGGGACGTAAAGCTTTCCTCTGTAAGTCGAAATCCCGGTGGCTATAGGTTTGAGAAAATCGGCTAAGAAGGCATTTGGAAGCATATGGCCTTTGGCGAAGGGCATGTTTGGGATTTGCGTCCAGACGCCGGACCGGGGATCAAACACTTCTGCTGACTGAAGTGGGGTAAGCCCGCCTGGATCCCGAGTTACACCTCCGACCACATAAAGCTTCCCATTCAGGATGCCAGTCTTACAATAAGCTCTACCAACGGACATCGGGCTGATTTCATCCCAAACATTCTTTATCGGATCGTAACGCCAAACGCACCTCATGGTTGAGTCTCTACAAAACCCTCCCAAGACATAGAGGGACCCATCCATGGCTCCAATAGCACAACCACAAAAGGGGATATGGTCAAGGGATTCCCTTTTCCTGAACAAACGCCTTACGGCATCTGTGATCCCGATCGTTTTAGGTGCACACTCTTTGGTGGGCACTGGTGGCAACCGTTGCCATTTCCCTGAGACGGGATCCAAGGCATACCATAAAAGCATATCATCATTGAGCTTAGTCAAAACATAGAGCCACTCCTCGGTTGTCCCGAGTTCTTTTCTTGTTTTGTATAGTTCGGGGCTCATAATAGCAGATTTCCATCTACGCGAAACCAACCTGGCTTTCAAGTAAAAAGCTCTAGGAAGTCTCGCAAGAATTTGAAAGGATATCTCATCAGGAAGGTTGGGGATCAACCAAGGCGGATCATCTTCCCTGAAACTAGCTGAAATCCTCCGTCTCTTGCGTGTGTCACTCTGTGAAGCCCCATTTGCCGCAGTCAAGATGGTTTTGTGATTATTTAGGCTTAATATACCACCCATCAATTATACTCCCTAACCTTCAATCCAAACAGAGCACAAGTCTCTTTGAGCTTTTGCAACTATATAGAATATAGATACGATGAGCCTAGATTGGGATTTGCAACGATCATAGCATTTTAGTTAAAGAAGAAATTCTTCTTAGGCTTTGATGGGGTGTGGGTAGGATTGATCATGGAATGTGTGATCTCTGTCGGTTATTCTATTCCTTTTGATGAAGGAACGATTGATCTGGCTGCGCTAGGGATCCTCTCTCCCGTATCTTTTCCTTCTTGTGGCTGAAGGTCTTAGTGCCTTATTAAGCAGATACGAGCAAATGGGCAGGTTGCACGGTGTTTCTATTGCTTGGTGCTCCTATGATTTCACATTTATTTTTTGCACATGATAGTCTGTTATTTTTCTGAGCCAATCATGATGAAGCTTCTTTGGTGAAAGAGAGTTTGGCTGATTATGAGAGTGCATCTGGCCAAGTAATCAATTATAATAAATCAAAAAAGTTTTTTAGCTCTAATGTGACGACTGATTACCAGGCGGGTCTTATTGATTTATTGGGAGTCGGACTGGCTGGTGAGGACGAGAGATATTTGGGGTTACCGGCTCTTGTAGGGCGGAACCGGAAAAATATTTTGAGTTGTTACCTCAAAGATTGGAGGCAAAACTCAGGTACTCCCCGGTGGAAAAAAACGGTCCTGGCCATTGTTTGGACCGTCAAGAAGCTTGGCCACTATTTCCAAGTTCATCCAGTCCAAATGCTCACTCATCAACCTCTCGGCGCCCTCATTAGGAGTCCAACCAGCTCCTCTAGAATGGTGAAATGGGTCATCTTCCTCAACCAGTACAACATTGATATTCGTCTGAGGCCTGCCATCAAGGGCCAAGCCCTGTCAGACTTCGTGACGGAATGCACTGCAAGATCGGCGGTAGATGAGGAGCCTTCGGCACCTCTTGACGAGTGGTGGACCCTCTATACCGATGGTTCCTCGGCCACCAAAGTGTGTGGAGGAGGGGTGGTTCTCATTACGCCCGAAGGCTTCCGCACCTATTATGTCATCCGCTTCTCCTTCAAAGTGTCCAACAACGAAGCCGAATACGAGGCCCTCCTCTGTGGCCTTCGGCTAGCAGCAAATCTGAAGGCCAAGTTGATCCACGTCAAGTGTGACTCAAAACTTGTCGTGGGCCAGATCTCCGGGGAATATGAGGCCAAGGAAGGGAGAATGAAGCAATACAATGAGGCGGCCAAGGAGTTGCTTAAGGTATTTGAGGCGCATTCTCTCACCCAAATACCGAGGGCTCAAAACTCCGAGGCCGACATTTTATCGAAGCTCTCGGCCGAGTCCCCGGAACACCTCTCAAAGATAGCAAGGATCGAGGAGCTCAGCCTCTCAAGCATACATGCGAGCCCCATCATCGATATACACCTCATGGCGGAGGACTGGATCTCTGATATCATAACCTTCATCACCACAGGGCAGCTTCCCGAGGTCAAGGCCCGTGCCAAGCTAGCAAAGCTGAGGGATCCCAGCTACACCCTCGAGAGCGGGAGGCTCTACAAGAGATCTTACAATGGCACCCTCCTTCGGTGCCTTCATCAGGATGAAGCCGAGGTCACAATGAAGGAAGTGCACAGTGGCACTTGCTCAGCTCACCAAGGACCCTTCTCCATGTCCCGAAGGCTCATAGTTCAAGGTTACTTCTGGCCCACCATGGCTCGTGATTGTGCAAATCTTGCCCGAAGGTGCACCGCTTGCCAACACTTTCAGAAGGCCCCCGGCAAGCCAGCTGTCAACTACGCCCCCATCAGCACCGCTATCCCCTTTTCCAGATGGGGCATTGACCTAGTAGGCCCTCTGCCGAGGGGTACCTCCAACAACAGGTACATAATTGTGGCCATCGACTACTTCACTAAGTGGGTGGAGGCCGAGCCCCTCGCCAGCATCACCGAGGCCCGATGCCGCCACTTTGTCCTCAAAAATATCCTCACAAGGTTTGGCGTCCCCCAACAAATCATCTCCGACAATGGCACCCAATTTGAGGTAGCCCCCTTTTGTGCCCTCCTCGAGGCATGGGGCATCAAACACACCTTCTCTTCTGTTGCCTACCCTCAAGACAACGGACAGGTGGAGAACGCCAACCGGACCTTGCTTGAAGGCCTAAAAAAGAAACTTGAAGCCGAAGGAGGAGGATGGGTAGAAGATCTCCACAACATCCTATGGGCCTACCGCACTACCCCTCGGCGTGCAACAGGCGAAACACCCTTCTGCCTATGCTATGGCTTCGAGGCTAAGGCTCCAACGGAGGTAACTCTTCCCACCCGAAGGGTAGAACAATATGAACCTGAGGTCAATGACGCCAACATGGCCCTCAATCTCCACCTCATCTCAGAGCGCCGGGAACAAGCCTTTCTCCGGGCTGAAAACTATAGGTGCCAAGTCAAGGGTTACATCGATGCCAAAGTTCATTCCCGAGAATTCCAGTTGGGGGGCTACGTCCTTCGGCGAAGGGAGTCCAGCCTACCCACCGAATGCGGCAAGATGGCACCTAAATTTGAAGGCCCCTACATCGTCTCAGCCATCATCAAACCGGGAACATACAAGCTAAAACGCCCTAATGGGACAGAGGTCCCTAGACATTGGAATGTACACCACCTTGTCAAATTCTATCAGTGAACATGAGCGGCCAAACCCTCATCCTCCACAAATGTACATGATCAACGGCCCAAGGCCCCATTTCATTTTGAGAAAATGGTTAAAAGGCCAAGCCTTCATCACCTATATGTTTCATAAGCGGCCCAAGGCCCCTTCTCTCCAAAAATGAGTGGCCAAGCCCTCATCTCCTCACCGAAATAGGCCCAAGGCCCCTTCCTCTCATGAGGACGAACACAATATAACATCACCAATCAAGGTACCAAGTACCAAGTGTGCGGGTTACCCCCACCACTCCATAAAAACACCAAGTGTTTTTAACTAAGCCGTACCCCACGAGGACGCCCTCATGCATACATTATGCATCATTATACATACTCTCCTAAAAAATCCGGGGGGTACAATACCCCTCGGCTCCGGCTGGCACCAAGTGCCCCCGGCTATTTGTGTCCCACACACAAATAAAACCCTTCCCAGAAACGCATCCCGCGCCATCCCCAAGGGGAGACAGGCAACGGACCATGTCCCGGGCCCAGGATTCGACTTTCACAAACGAAACGCTCCCCGCGCTATCCCCCAAGGGGAAGCAGGCAACAAACCATGTCTCGGGCTAAGGGGACGACTTTCAAAACCGAGGCGCTTTCTGTGCTATCTCCCAAGGGGAAGCAGGCAACAGACGATGTCTCGGACCGAGGAAACGACCCTCAAACCCTTCGGGATATCGGAAGGTCAATCCCGAGGGGGGAGCCAACGGTTTGTTCCGTTGCCTCCCATATAGGCCAAGCCTTTCCTCGAAACCAAGTTTCTTGATGCCCCTCCTACAGCATTAAAAAAAAACGCATAGGGGGGAAGGGACTCCCCGGATACTATTCTCCCCGGAGGCTCAACAACAATTCGGAGACATGTTCTCGAAGGCTCTCTCAAAGATGCAAACAAGTCTCTCAACACAAAGTCATTCGGCTACATGTCTGAAGGCTCCACTGCATGAAGATTCCGTTCGAAATCCTTGGGCTCACGTGTTGGACCCGAGGGTTGAAGTATTAACCTCAACAATGTCGATGTCAAAAAGAGAAGATAGACAAGAAGAAGAAAAAAGAATAAAACAAATATGATAAAGATAAATGAATATAAGATAACAATAACATAAGAATATACGAGAGATAAAAGATTAAAAGATAAAAGAGCATAAAAAGCTAGAAGATAGAAATGACACAAGAACATAAAAAGACAAAAGAAAAAGAGAGAGCGGTCGATTGATTCAATATAATAGCAAATTAAATACTTTTATAGTTCAATTCCAATAGGGATATAATCTACTTTATTACCATTAATGTGGATTTACCCTTATTATTATAGTGTTTTATTAATACAAATAAAAATTTAAAATTATGCATAAATTGAAATGATTTGTAATTAAATTACTATCAAATTGATTTGTAATTAAATTTAATTAATAGCCGAAACAATGCAAAGTTTAATTGGGCTTAAGAGTTATTCGGGTTCGATTGAGCCCAAATGACTCCACATAAGTTTGTGGAGCTCCATCTCCATCCCGCGCTTCTCCGGCGATGGCGCCGAAACGTCGCCGTTCAAAGAATGGTGGAAAGCTTTCCAATCGAAGAGGTTTGCAGCCTCCAAAGAAAGTGGGGAATCTGTGAAGGAACATGATTTTGTTTCTTTTTCTCACTATTGTTTACCGTGTGAGGAATATGAAATCTGTGCAGGAACATGAAGAACCTGGAGACGACGAAGGTGTAAGCGCGGCGGTTGAGAAGTACTGGTTTCAAAGGTTCAATCTCTTCTCCAAGTACGACGAGGGCATAAGGATGGATGAAGAGGGGTGGTTTTCCGTCACGCCGGAGAAAATCGCCGCCAGGCAAGCCCACCGATGCTGCGGCGCTGTTGTCATAGATGCTTTCACGGGCGTGGGTGGAAATGCCATTCAACTTGCCGCAAAGTAAGTACTCCGTATAATTGATTGATAAAAATGAGTAAGTTACAGTTTTTTGTTTTTGTTTAATGGCTGCAAAAACAAAAGTTCTCTTTCACAGGTATAGTCATGTAATTGCTATTGACATTGACCCTAGAAAGATTGAAATGGCTCAAAACAATGCAAGGATATATGGAGTGGAGGAATACATAGATTTTCTTACAGGGGATTTTTTCCAATTGGCACCATTTCTCAAGGTAATTAATGTCTTTTTCATCTCATCCCACCCAAACCCGCTCCCCCGCTCTAACTTTGGGAATGCTTTAGAACAAACTTTCTTATTGTTTTAGTCCTATTAAATTTTTAATTTGTAATTTGATGATTCGAGATTTTACGAAAAAAGGGCAGTTAAAACAATGCGTGATTGTATAACATTCCAAATCACTTTTTGTGTCTTTGGAAACATTTTTATGCTTAGCATTTAACCCAAGACAATATATAACCCAAGTCACCCAACCTCTGTGCAACCGGACCTTACATTCTACCAAATCCCAACTAGAAGCTAAGCCTCAGCATGTTATTAATGGTGGTCGCCTGGTCGGGGACTGTGATGTACGGAACATAGAAGCCAGATCCTTATGGGTCCGTATTAGGAATTTTATCAATCCAGGACCTGAAAGATGGACATATTATCAATCCGAGACCTCAAAAATAAAATGTACTGATATAGGACTCGAATGACGGAAAACTATCAATTCAGGACTTGAATGATTCAAAACTATCAATCCAGAACCTAAATTGTCATGAATTTTATTATTTTATTTTTTTTTTAAAATATTATTTAGTTTTATTAAACTAATAAACTTTTGTGTAGAAAAGTTTATCAAAAAATAGCCATGAAATTAATAAAAAATTAAATAAATCAAAACCGGTGAAATGTTAGGTCCTAGATTGATAATTTTCTATCATTCGGGATCCTATACATATACATTTCATCTTTCGGATCCCAATTGCTTTCAGGTCCTGGATTAATAAAATTCCATAATTCATTGGTGGAAACTACCTATAAAATCCATTATTAATGAAGATAGATTTCTTTCACAAGATAGATCATGCGAAAGAGTATCAATCAAGTTTTGATCTACTTTTGGTGTGTGGGTTTTAATCATGCATATTTGAACCATGCATTGCATTTTTTTATGAAAACTACAATGCATTTTTTTATGTTTTCACTCTAAAAGGTTTGTTTTCATCTCTTGGTTCTTGGTTAGGGAGATGTGGTATTTCTTTCTCCTCCATGGGGTGGCCCAGCATATAAGTTGAGAGACACCTATACCCTAGACCTCCTGAAACCAAAAGATGGGTATGCTCTGTTGCATCTACAAACTTATACTTTCAAACCATCAATTTAGCCATTGCTTTTGCTATATTCTATTGCTCGGAAACTAAATATAATTTTATTATTTCTGTGAAACCTGTCGTTTTTGTGAGCTCGGAAAGTTCTCTTTGATGTTCCTATCCACTCACTCTCAAATGGTGACCCGATACCGGGTCCATCCAGGAACGTGCTTGCCCCTAATATTAACATAAAAACTTCCCATTTTTCTCCAACTTCTATAACTTCATCTCCGCTTATTATCTCCATTTACCATTTCTTCTTCTTCTTCTGGTATACAGCTTATGATTTCTGTCACTCGTTGTTAGTCCTTCCACAACTTATCAGGCCAATATACTATTTATTTTCCCGGAAATGTGGGAGTTAATATTTAGTAATAAATCAATAAAAGTGAAAAAGTCTTGTTTCGAATCAGAGATTACTACTAACTAATCCATTATGCGGTTGCAGTTATTCGCTATTTCAGGTTGCACACAACATTACACCGAATATTATTATGTACTTGCCTCGTAACATGGACTTGATTCAAGTGGAACAGCTTGCTTGGTTATCTTCCCCCCCTCTACAAAACCAGGTATGTGGCTGTTAGCTATACTATGGGGCTACACTGACAAGTCTGTTTTGTTTGATAGCACAGTTGTAATTTTTTTCACCAAATAATGGTGTGCCGTAACTGTGTATTTTATACCTCGGATAGGTTATATATACATAGAGAGAGATTCAAATACAAACTACTCATGTGAAAAATGGGAAGTAATCTTAGCCATTAAAATGAGGAAATTAGTGGACCGGATCAATTTTTAAGTGGAAAATTCGGTGCCAATAGTGTAAATTTTAGAAACTTTTTTGAAAAATAATGTGATAAATGTGCATGATTATGGAGAAAAAGTGCATCAGAGTAACACAAAAGTGCATCACTTTTCGATAAAAAACAAGTATAGAAATCGTATATGCACTTTTACTATTATGTATTACACATTTTGATTTATCGTGAGTTTTGATCTATTCCATCTATTTTTAAGTGATGAAGGGCTTAGATCACTTCTCAATTTTCATGGGAAGACCACTTTGTATTAGAATTCACCCCTATATATGAAGTATTTAGTAGGAATTCTTATGTAATTCAAACTTATTTATTACTTATATGTATGACATCCAAGGTTATCACTCTGGTAAGCCTCATTATTATTCTCATATAATATCCGAGCTATAGGTTTTTACCTTATTTTTTTCTGACCATGCATTCCACGGCCGTCGTCTCATTTGCTTCTACGGCAACGCTGGTCTCCACAGTTGCACCTCATACGGTGTCGTCGACTTCATTGTTGGTCTCCATGCCGACTTCATCCCTATCGCTACAGACCTCCAACGACGCTGGGCACTTTCTGAAGCAGCCGTTAGAGAGCTCGCCCATCTCCGCTTCATTCACGCTGGGTTTCGTTTCATGGATCCCATCCGTGTTCACGTTGACTCCTTATGCTCCAACGCTGAACACCATGTCCTTCCTCTTCCCTTTCACTCATCTGTATGGAATCCATGGAAAATTATTAAATGCTAAGATTATTTTTTTAAGTGATTGAGGGGATGAGTTGAAGCAAGTATGGTGTGGCGGAACGCTAACATCGTCATCTCCTTGAATTAACTCATACTATGCTTATTGAAGCAAGTATGCCAACTACTTTCTGGGTTGATGCACTTTTTATAGCTACTAACATTATTAATCGTTTATCCTCTTATGTTCTAAATATAGAGCCGTCAAAATGAGCCGAAACCCGCGGGCTGGCCCGTTTAAACCCATTTATTGGTGGGTTAGGATTGAGAATTTCTGACCCATTTAGCTCGCGGGTTTCGCAGGTCAGCCCACACGGGTTGCAGGTTTAAGTGGGTTGGCCCACCGGCTTGCGGGTTGGCCCATGGGCTAAAACACAAAAATATTGTTTTGAATTTTATTATCTTAAATATTGTTCTTTTACTACCAATATTATTATAATTAAAGTTAAAAAATTAGAAACATGGCAAAAAAATATTTATTTCTATAATAAATATTCGAGAAAAGAGGCAAATAAGGCCACGTACTAACCAAGAAAGGTCAAATAAGGCCCTATTTAAGAGGCTCTGTCCGGCCGTCGCCATTTGGGGTGGTTCCCGGTGGAATATTTTTATGAATTTTTTTGAGCATCTTATTCAGTAAGTCTAGTTTACTCATACCAAATTTCAGCTAAAACTTCAATCGGGAAGGTATTCAAATGAACTCTTGAAGATAACTGCGCAGTTAAAAGCACAGTTATCTTCAAGAATTTCTTTGAATGCCTTCCCGATTGAATTGTTAGCTGAAATTTGGTATGAGTAAACTAGACTTAATGAATAAGATGGTCAAAAAATTTCATCAACAAATTCCACTGAGAACCACCCCAAATGGTGAATGCAGGGCATAGCCTCATAAATAAGGCCTTATTTGACCTTTTTTGGTTAGTACGTGGCCTTATTCAAATAGAATGTTCAAATAATTACAATATTTAATAATTAGTAGTCATTATTTACAAATAATCAATCAAAAGGTTTATGTAGATCTTTGTTTTTATACAGTGAGTATTTTTGTCGTATACCCTTTTATAGTTTTCAAATTCCTGTATAACTAGTATTTAATTTTTTTTAATTAAACTTAACAAGTATCAAATTTTTAGTATTTTGATTTCTTTTATTTCTTTTGTTACTACTTACTAATATAAATAAGTACTTTCGGGTAATTATTTCTAAAGAATTTTTTGTTATATATTTTTTTGCGTTGGCCCGCGGGCCAACCCGTTTAACCCACGGGTTAGGTGGGTTGAGCTAGGGTTGTAGAAATTCTGGTCCGACATTAAACGGGTTGACCCGACCCAACCCACATAAAGAAAACCCGTTACGGGCCGGGTCGGGTTGGGTCGGGTTGGCCCGTTTGACATCTCTATCTAAAAAGTATGTCTCCATTTGAAAAATTATTTCATCATTTGCGCGTATTTGGGTGTTCTTGTTATCATAGTTTTCTTGCAACATCGAACTTTCTCCTCGCTCAATTCAATGTGTTTTTCTTGGCTATGCTCATGAATATAAATGTTATCGATGTCTTCAGCAAGACTTACATTAATTGCCATGTCACTTTTCATGAAAATATTTCCCTACATTTCAGGTAACTTCTTCGTTTGTCCCAGACACGTCTACCTTATTGTCTTTTTGGAGCTTTGATTCCGCTACCTCACCCCACATTTTTTCTTCACCGCCGCTACCGTTCTCCCTGCAATCTTCTTCACCGCTGATACATACCTCACTGGCTAGTCCATGTTCTCCCTCACTGGCGGCGCCCGTCGAAAGATTTAGGAGTTTTTTATGCTTTCTTGGTGTTGAGACTGTGCATACTTCTCAAGATCATTTTCTCTCAACTAAAATATATGCATGGTGTGTTAACCCGTTTTCACCTTTACACTATTAGCACGCCTCTTCCTAGTAGAACCAAGGTCTCTCTTTCTGATGGTGAACCTCTTGTAGATCTTATTGAGTATATATAAAAGTATTGTGGGTGCTTTACAATATTTAACTATGACTAGCTCTGATATTACATATGACGTGCACCTGGTTTCCCAATTTATGAATGCTCTCCGTACTACACATATTTTGGCCGTGAAGCGTATTTCAAGTATCTAGGGGTCATTGATGCATGGATTGCCGTTTCAACCATCTACTACCTCTCATGCTATTCTTGCCTACTAAGATGTTGACTGGTCTGGTTGGTCCCAATCTAGTGTCATCGAAATCTAAGAAACAACCTATTGTCTCCCGATCTTCTATAAAGGCTGAGTATGAAGATATTACTTATACAATTCAAGATACACTCCGCATCCGTTCTATTCTGTTTGAGTTCTGCATAGCTATTCGTTCGTCTGTTCATCTTTTGTGTAATAATGTGTCTGCTTCATATTTATCAACTAATTCCTATTCAACATGATCGTATTAAACATATTAATATTGATTATCATTTTGTTTGTGAGAGTTTCACATGGAGATTTGGTTGTTCGTTATGTTCCTACACATCCACAACTTGCGGATATTTTTACGAAGAGTCTTCTTTCGCTACTATTTCTTTTTCTTCATGACGATCTACACGTTGTCCCTCCGGCATAGATTGTGGGGTGTACGTAATAGTTTATTTTATGCCTAAAATAGGTTTTGTATATTCAATACGAAATCTTTATGTAATTCAAACTCATTTATCACTTATATATAAATATGATATTCATGGCTATCAGTCTAGTAAGCCTTATTTTTATTCTCATAATGGCCTTCACTCGTTACAAAACAAGCTTTGTTGTGCAGATTGAAAAAAACAAGCTTCATGGTCACATGAAAGGCATAACCGCTTATTTTGGCGATATTGCAACACCTTAAACTCGGCTCAGTTTTATTCATTAAACTAGCAATGTACGCACAATGTGCGATAGATGCCCAAAATTATTAGTAACGAGCAGTGGCATTTGACAAATGTTTTATTTTGAAGGACTATAATGACCTATTATAAATACCAAATATAATAGGTGGATTTAAATCTTTTAAAATGAAAGGACTCTTTAAACGTGTAAAAACTGGAAGTTTGTAAAGGTAGATATACTCCGTATAAAACTTCAAGTAACTTCTTTATCAGGCAGTGGGGTTCAAATGTAACAAATGCAAAAAGTACTAATATTTGTAGTATATTGTCAGTGTGTGAGACAATGATAACAATTGTCAAATTGTGTGGTTCAAATTATGCAATTTACCAAATATCTTAGATCCCCTTCAGATAAATTATAGTTAATATAATCTTCAAATACTTGGTGAAAAGGCCAAAGTAGCATATCAATATATATCATGGATGGTGATGAAAAAGCCAAAAGGTAAGATAACCATCTACCTATTATAGGATGTGTCCTTGAAAGATAAAGGTAAACAACATTGAAATCAAGTACAGTTTTTTTAGAGTCAAACTTTTGTAGAACCTAAAACAATAATAGTTAAATTAAACATTAACTTCAAAACTTTTAGGTACAAATTGGACTAACAGAATTTTGAAATACTGGCATTGTGCTTGGATAAGGAGGGAGAGTGTAATTTAAACAAAATGGTACACTTCCGTATATCACAGCTCTCTAAATTGACAAAAACCATTGAAATATTTTGAACTTCGAAATAGGCTGGAGACCGGTTTGGTTCATAGGCAAAATAGATGAAACGGTTTAAAAAATATCAAATCCTAATAACGGTTCGGTTCTTATAAATGTTCTATAGAACCGATATGGAATTAAACCATTCCTAACGATTTGGTTTTTGTCATTTAACGATTTCTAGTTTTAAAAAATTCTTAACAATCAAGGTTAAATTTGTGCCAAAAAAGCATTCAAAATTTTAGTAAATGAAACAAAACAATATATTCACTACAATCAATAATTATGATCTTGAATGAGCAACGTAATTAGTCAGCAAAAAGGTTCATTCATTTCAAAGGGTCACAGGTAGAGCACTCTATTCCGATCATTTGGGCCTCTAATAATAGCCTTAGAGGAATCCGTTAAAATAAATAATAACGCTAAATACTGCATTCGTCCCAAAAAACTTTGTCATTTCAAAAAACTTTGATTAGTATAGTATTATGGAAGTTATAAATTTTATATTTGTATGAAATTACTTTTAACAAGAACATTTTTATATAATTTTTTTAATTTATAAAGAATTTTTAATAAAAATATATAGTTGCTCACAGTTTTGAAAATGACAAAGTTTGGCCTTAAAAAAGTGTTCTGACAATGTATTTTGGTCATTAATAAGATTTCTTGTTACGCTACATGTAGACAATTTTTTTAAATCATAAAATCTTAAAATATGAACTGAAGTCCTCTCTTTAGATATGTTTACTAATAGTTTATGCAACCCATATAAATTATTTGATCCATAATATAGCATTTACGAATGCCTATACTATTTTTAGTTTCCGGTGAAGCATGCAACTATGCAAGTATTTTTACCAACAAATAGGCACGCACCGAGTTCTGAAATGGAAGCTATACCTTTTTCCACTTGGATGCCTTCTTAGTTAACAAAAACATATTATTGATTTTTGCTCTCTCCGCTACACTTGGAATCCCGAAAAAAAAACAATTGTTAATGTAGTGAGTTCTCGGGTTATTGGGGAAGCGGTCCAGCCCAGCTGGTCGCAGATTCACTCTCTCTTACGGGAGGTCTCGGGTTCGAAACTCAATGGAATGGGTTTCAGCCCCCATTACTCCAGGCCCCCCAGTCCCCCTTCCCCAGACGCCCCTGGAGTATTTTAAAATAAGAAAACAAAAAAAAAAGTAGTTTATTTTCCCTGTATTTTTCTTTTCTCTTGTATCTTTTAACTTCATCTTAATAAAATCTGGTGGTGTTACGTTCCCTGGAATCCCCCACCGCATGTGGTTGCTCCGGGAAAAAACTCTCCGTCTTAAGTACTTGTGTATATGAAACTATTTCTTTGTTGTGAAGGTTGTTCTTTAAGCCATATGTATAAACTTCTAAAAATGAAGGCTTACTGTTGGAAACAATAAAAGTCATTTTCACCATCCAGATTAAATTATAGTAATAAATTATTCTACAACAGAAACAAAAAGTAGTTCTAGTAATAGAAAGTATGAGAAAAAGTGAATATATGACAAAATAATATAACATTGTTGAAGAAAAAGAGAAACCACGGGGAATGCTGTTTACTTGTTTTATCATTCGGATATGGTTTTTGATCAAGATATTATTCAATGTTAACAAAAAAACATTGACTCAGGCACTTTATCAAAGGGTTTGTGGACATCAAAAACTGCATATATAACTAAGGTTGAAGCATTTATAATCCAAATGAAACAATTTGTGTTCGTATGATAAAATTGATAATAAGTGTGAATAAATAATACATAGTATGAAGTAGAGAGTATAATATGTGGAGAGAGTTCTCCTTCGTGTGTTCTTAATGAGCAATGCCTCATGCATATTTATACTCCCTCCGTCCCGCTAAGATTGTCCCATTTTACCTTTTCGGGAAGTCCCACTAAGATTGTCTCATACCAAATTTGGTAAAGATTATGTGGCTCTAAATCATTCTTACTTTATTCTTACTTTATCAATTTAATATCAACCACACAAACTCATTTTTCTTAATAATTGTGCCACCTTCTTCCGTCCCAATCTTAGTGGGACGGAGGTAGTAGTACATACGCATGGCAAATTACATGAGAGAGAATACAAGTTGCATGGCCCATGCAACTAGGCATGCAGGACAAGCCAACCTATGACATATTTTAATAATAATAATAATAATAATAATAGTAGTAGTAAAATATCAAATATCGCAATACTCCCCTTCAAGGTGGAGTGTGAAGGTTACGAACACTCAACTTGCCCCGAAGAAATCAAAAATGATCTGCCCCAAGTGCTTTGGTGAAAATATCGGCCACCTGATTATTCATGGTGATAGGAAATGGTCGAATTTCATTACTAGCAACCCTTTCTCGAACGAAGCAACAATCTATTTCCACGTGTTTGGTACGTTCATGGAAAACCGGGTTAAGTGCAATATGTTGGGCGGCTTGATTATCACAATAGAGCGATGTAGGACCCATTTGAGAAACTGCAAGATCTTTTAGTAACCATCGTAACCATAAAATTTCACTAACTGTGATGGCCATATCTCGGTATTCTGCTTCAACAGAAGAGCGAGAGACAACAGACTGCTTCTTCGTTTGCCACGATATGGGTGAATTGCCAGGGGTGATGAAATAACCGATACTGGAGCGACGAGTAAAAGAGCATCCTGTCGAATCAGCATCACAATAGCCTTTTAAGGTGAAGTCATCCTCAGAAGACAAGAATATACCATGACCCGGTGTTTGCTTTAAGTAACGGAGGACGCGTATGGCGGCATCAAGATGGGTTTGTCTGGGGTTGTTGAGGAATTGACTGAGCTGACTTACAGAGTAAACAATGTCTAGACGAGTGACAGTGAGATATAACAGTCGTCCAATAAGTCATCGGTAGGAAGAGGCATCCACCAGAGGGCTATCATCATCTGGGCGGAGCTTTAAATTCTACTCCATGGGGGTTTGACTGGGGCGGCCTGCCAGGAGACCACACTCTTCCAAAATGTCGAGGGTGTACTTTTGCTGACTCAAAACAAAACCTTCAGGAGAGCGAGCAACTTCAATACCGAGAAAGCATTTAAGTTTTCCCAAGTCTTTAATACTAAATTCCGTATCCAAATATCCCTTCACCGTGTTAATATGCGAAATGTCATTTCCAGCCAGTATTACATCATCTACGTAAACTAGAGCATAACTGGTAACAAGGCCCTAGAAGGTGAAAAGTGAGTAATCCGTTTGGGATTGACGGAAACCAATTTTGGTGAGAGCTTGAGTGAATTTATGATGCCAATTACGGTATGTTTGTCGTAACCCATAAAGAGATTTTTGATAACTTGCAAACACGGGCAACAACTAACAAGTAGGCATGGACTTGGTTCGGGCTGACCGGACCGGGAACCAGCCCGGCCCAGCCCGCTATTGTGCGGGCCCGGCCCGGCCGGGGAAACCGGTTCTGGTACCAGGCTTAGGCCTGGCCCGAGAGGGTAACCAGGGGCAGTTCCGGGTCATGAAAAAGGCGAATCGGCCCGGTTCGGGACTTTTTTTGTTTTTTTGTTGTTGTTTGGGTTGGGTCTAGGTGGGTTGGGTTTGGTGTTTCTGAGGGGTTTGGGGGGTGGGGGGCGATGGGGGGGTGGGGGTGGGGGTTGAAATAAATAAGAAAACACCAAAAAAAACGGAACCGGTAGACTCCTAAGCCGGTCCAGGGCCTTACCCAAAACTAGGGGTGGACTCGGGCCGGGCGGCCCGGCCCAGAACCGGCCCGGCCCGGTTACTGTTTGGCCCGGCCTGGCCCGGGGCCCGGTGGGTCCACCGGTTTGGTTCGGCCCGGCCCGGCCCGGCTGCTGGGCGGTCCGGGCTCGGGCCCAGTTTTTTGTGAACCAGCCCGGCCGGTTCGGGCCGGTTTTTAATTTTTTTTTTGAATTTTTTTTAAGTTTTGGGTTGGATTAGGTATTTTGGGCTATTTGAGGTGGTTTGGGGTGGCTTGGGGTTGAGGGGGAGGGGTTGGGGGTTAAATAGAAGAGCCAAAAAAAAAAATTAGAACCGGTTAGGCCCGGCCCGGTTTGGCCCGGAACCGGAACGGGAACCGCCCACCGGCAGTTCGGGCTCGGGTCCAACTTTCTTGGCCCGAACCGGGCCCGAACCGGCCCGAGTCCAGGTCTACCCAAAACCATCCAAGCCCGGCTAGGCTTAGGCCCAAACCGGAACCGGACCGGGCCCAGTCCACCCCTAGTAACATACCTTTGCTAACGACATCGCCACTCACCTTTGCAAACACGTCACCACTTGCCATCGCAAACGATGTCACTGCTCACCATCGCAATCGGCGTCGCATCTCACCGCTCACCAACACCGCTGGTTGCTCGAGTTTGATAAAATGAAGGACATCATATAGCAATCGGAGATGGGGATATAAGAAGAGAAAGTAGGCTTTAGATTTTAATCAGGGATAATTTTCCACATTCAAATCTATTTAATCTCTTTTTTTGTCCATAATAAAATAAACTAATAAAGTCTCATTTTTGTCCACTTAATAGCCCATAGTCTTATTTTAGTCATTGTT